TCGATACCGCCCAAAATGCCGCTGAAAGACGGATCCGTTTCGAAGAGCTCGATAATTTTGGCTGTGGTAGCCTTTGGAGAAGCCGGTTTCTTTCCACCCCCGGTCTTCTTTACTGCCGTGGTACATTTGTTGTGCTCTCTTTTTGCTCCACTCACCATTCCTCTCCACTTTTCTTTTACCTCCACAACAGTTCTTTTGGAAACTCCAAGGGCATTGACTTTCTCGGTTATTTCCTCCCATATTCGCGTTTTGTTTTTATTACAAAGTGTCGAGGAAAATTTACTTTTGATAATGTTTATATTTTCTTCCGCCTCTTCCAAAATAACTGCGCATTCGGCGGGTGTAAAATTGGGTTTTCTAGCGCGCTTTGCCGGAGAAGGAGCAACATTTTCTGCCATGTTGTCTCGCCACTAGCACGCGCGAGCGAACAGATCACGCAACGCCTGGGTTGTAACCATAGCAACTGCTTGGATACCGAATTATCCATCGGATAGTTATACGTCTCGCTATCCGTGCTTTCTGCAACAACTTTTTATCCGCCGGATAACTATCCAGTGGATAGCCTTTTTATCCACCGGATAAGCTTATCCGGTGGATAAATTTATCCATCCTTTGAACAACCGGGGCCAGAAGGACAATCACAATTTCGAATGTGCATGATTATAAACGTGTTACCCTCATTATTAGAACAGATGGATACCACCTTAGGAAGTATAAGAGCTACCCAGATGATCACAGTGTACCAGTGCCCAAATCGATGAAGTTGGATCGTAACAAGCGTTCAGCGACACGTTCCAACACTGCCATCTCGATTCCTCAGTCTTTTGCTTCCACTGAGCTAGCGGCGGTGCCAACAGAGTCAAGTGCGTCTCATAACGAAGAAACAATTGTACAAGAGAAGGAAGCGATTATAGTACGTTAGAATTCTTGCGTACAAATGAATGCATGTGCACATTCCGAAGCGTTGATCCATGCTTATGATTATTTTACGATTTTGGCACATCTCCGGACACGAGACATATTTTGCATCACAATAAAAACTTTTATGACTGTGGAATCCAAGGGGCCTTTGAGTTTAGAAAGCAAATCTGTGATATGAGTACATTGCATTTAAACTGAAAATTTGCACTTAATGTAACTGCTTTATGAAAAATGCATATTCATGTTAAGATTTAATAAAACTTAGTTCAAATAATAAATTTCATGATAAACATGTACAGGTATATACATCTCTTGGTACACTTTGTTTAGCGTATCTTTTATTGAACCAATATTAAAGTTTTAAGCCTCTAAAATTACTCCTTGTCTGAAAACCTTCACAGTCAAGGTATTGAGAATTTCTTGGAATTATTTGGATTTCAGGGTTATTTAATTTGCTTCAAATTCAGAATTCCATCCTTCTTAACTTAAAGGTAGTTTGTACAGCTGAGAATTCCTAAGAATTCCAAGTCCTCAAAAAACTGGAACCTTCCTTTCCCAGAAATTCCCAGCAATTCCAAGCTTTCAAATCAGAGCTTGTTTGCACATTTGAAAATGTTTGAGAATTCTCAGGTCTAGGAATTCCAAGTCCTCACAAAACTGGAACCTTCCTTTCCCAGAAATTCCCAGTAATTCCAAGCTTTTCATATCAGAGCTTATTGGCATAGTTGGGATTATTTGAGAATTCCTAGGAATTCCCAGAAAACTGGGAATTCAGTTTGCAAGGGTTGTACCCTACATCAACAACAAAGAAAAGGATTTTCACTTGAGCAGTATACTTAAAGTGTACTCTTACCCTACATCAACAACAAAGAAAGTGATTTTCACTTGAGCAGTATACTTAAAGTATATTTCTACCCTACATCAACAACAAAGCAAGTGATTTTCACTTGAGCAGTTTACTGAAAGTGTACTTCAGAAAGGGTACTGCAAATGTACTTAAGTAAGTGCAGTGCTATTGAAGTATTATTGAAGTGTGATTGCAGTGTAACCACTATTGATACAGTATACTTCTAGTATACTTAAAGTATACTTCAAGGCTATCTTTTTTGGTAAGGGAGTACAACATCGATAATATTTAATGATGTTTTTATTACTAACTTAAAGGCCAAATGTGGCTTGCATGCAAATTTATTTAAAAGTGATCATTTTTTTACATCACCTGACATTCTCTTAAATGTCTAACCATTTTCACTGCATTACTGAGTAGGTTTGGACTAGAACGAAACATCTGCGAACCGTGCGAGTAGTCCACCCAATAAATCCCACCCATCCCACCCCAGGGGAGGACATCTATCACACAGTAATCTCGTGTGTGGGAAATTAACTTCTCCTTCCCCAACCCTGTAGGAGATGGGACCTCCATTTATTCGTCCCTATCCGAAAAGACTAGAAAATCTAACTATTTCTTGAAGTTATAGAAAGGTAGCATATTCTTCTCAATTATTTTAAGACCTTGAGTGTTGGTCCGGCCGGGGCTTGAACCCTCGACTTCCCACACAACAGTCCAGTGCTCTATCCATTGAGCTAAACCGGGAGGTGGTTAGCTCAATTGAAGGTAGTGCAGTATATGCTTTGAACCCAGGGTTGATAGTTGCAGATCACATTGTCTGATTAATCAGGAGACAGCAAACGTCAAAAGTACTGTTGTCCACAAAAGTATCCAACATTTTGACATTGCACTTAGAGCTAGTGACTGATATTGACTTCCTCTTAGCTTGTCAAAGTGTAAGTAACTGCCATTCACAACAATTCCTTTCAGGACAACTCTCAAACAACACAATCATCTAGGAAGATAGTGTGGGATCCACCACTGCCTCTCTGCATAAAGCCATACATGTATGTTATCTAAGATTTTAATAATTGAATCCCTCATCTAATTAAGAAAAGTTAAAAAATCAAATCTGTATCAAAAAAGAATTGCTATCTTAATTTTGCTTTGAATGTCAATTAAGGAGGTCATACAAACCTCTTAAGGAGACCTTTACATTTTCAAGAGCACTTTGTTAATGCAAATGAATGTCCTTGTGCAAATTTCCTCAAATGCCATGTGGGACCCCTCTTCTGAAAGATCCAGCTTCTGTTTGGGAAATGAAGATTTGCACCTACCTTGGGAAGGGATAAAATGTGGACTTCAAAGGAGTGGCAGAAAATGGGCCTAACTCCCAAGCTATGAGTAAATAAATGTTACCTAATTTCAAATTAAAACAAGTTCCAAAATGCATTTAAAAAAGTTCTCTACTCTTAAATTACCATACTAATTAAAGTATGTCTTATAATCTATCATGTACTATCATTATAATAGAAAAGGCAATTTCAAATTACTCCTAAATACTTAAAGATGTTATATTTTTAAGACCTGCTTTCATCATACTTTGATCAATAGTTGACAATTGACCCCTGAAAGTTTATAAATTTTATGATTCTTTTCTTGCTACTTCAATGTTCAGATTCATTTTTTGACGAATTCTTGCCAACCTCATCTCATTGTATTTATTGTCATAAAAAGGGATGAAGAAAAAGATCTGAAAAACAAAGGCACAGAAAATGTCAGTTGATTTTTTGAGTCTATGTGGAGTTTTAAAAGGCATCTATTTACAGATTCTAAACAACTATTACTCATTATATAAAGGGATAAGTGAAAAAAAACTTGAGTGACCAGTGATGAAATGCTAGATTCTCCTTCCATATCTCACAAATCAAAAGGAGAATTGGATGTTTGATCAAAGGTCACTATAGGCTGTTTTTTTCATCAAACCTTCTTAGGTTATGTCAGGATGGTGTCCAGATACAACCTAACTATTAGAAAGGGATGTGGGCTCAGCTGCTGAAAAGCAAGATGACCTCAGTCTAGAAATGGAGTGTGAATAATTTGTAAATGATCTCAAACTCAGAGTAAGAGACACAATGGGTTAGCAATTGGCATAGTGAAATCTAGGCCTGAAGATCTGAGCTGGAGACCTGGTGGGTTGACTGTGTAATCGAGTTCACGAGCAAGATACCTTACTGTCAGGGTGCCTCTCTTCATGCAGAAGTATACACTAGTACTGGTACTGGTAAACCAGTATAAATTGGTTGAGAAATAAGAAAGGGTATCTTGGGATAGACTTGGAAAAGTTATACTGAGCTCTTATTCAGTTCATCCAACAGAAACTGTGAGGAGCTCTGCCTGTGCAAGCCACTTGGGTTGAGTACCGGCGACTTCCCTCCAAAGCAAAGACTGGTTGATATATACCATAGTTATGAGTTTTCTAAAAATGGGTGGGTTTTGGCACTGGATTCCAAATGGAACTTTTGTCTTAAAGTTCAAAAATAGTTATAATAGAACATTATAAATAATAGTGGTGATCTTTGAGTGAGTAATACTTGGATTTAATACTAAGAATAATATCAAAACTTAATTAAGAGCTTTTTCCTACCATGTTTAGAAGAAAGGCAAATGGAATCATCAAAGGAAGAAATCCAGTTGAAAATGACTTTGCCTTTGAAAAAATATCACAGAAAGGGTTATTATATAACTATAACTGAATAAAAAGAAAACAATTTCTAGTGAGAAGAAATTGTTCAAGTACATCAAGATGCCCCAAAGAGGAGCACATTTGTGATGGATACTCAGACCCTTGATTTGTTACAGGTAGATAAGCTGTAGCCATACGGTTAATTAGCAGTCCCTGGGAAACCCAATGGCTTAATGGTCAGTGCATTAGACTCTGGATTGAAAAGTCTGGGTGTGACATCTGGCCTAGTCAATGTATTAATTGTGTTCTAAGTTTCTATAATTACCTTTGCAAGAGTTCCCCTCTCCTGTCCTGGTTGAAATTCTATTTCCACAATATCCAGCCATTCAGCCTCAGTATATGAAAATATTTGCACAAAATTTCTCTCATGGCGAACCTACAAAAAATTAGTAAATAAAATAAATGACCCCAAGGAAAGCTTATACCTATCTTATAACTGGCAGTTTGTGTGTTATATGCACTATGAACTAAGTTTAACTGGATCAGGAGATGCCCTTGCACCTTCAACCTGAGAATCTTGGTGATTTTCTCTAGTCTTAGTTAACTTTGAGGTCTCTGGGATCTTATCTCCTCAAAGCCCCAACCAATTCATTAAATATATCTTATTAACCAAGCGCGAGGGCTGTACTGGGAAAATATCGACCCGAGGTCTTGACAGTACGGACTGAGTCCAGCGAGGTCTGTACAAAAAAGACCGAGGGCCGATATTCTTCCAGTACGGTCCCGAGCAAGCTTGGTTAATAAGAGGTTTATTATACGACTGAAGTTCAAAGGGACACAAGTGCAGTATCATTCCAGTCCATTCGGGACAGTGCCTGGTCCAATACTGAGAGAATATTGACTGGTAATAGAGCATTTTGATTGGTTGATTTTAGTTATTGGCCCTCTGACTGCCCGAGTTGTGTAATAAAAACTTTTAACATGTCTGTGTTCCTCTTCCAGTGTCTTTAACCAAACAGCAGAATACCTAGGCACAAGAAAGCCATCAGAAAAACCTGACTAAACAGTGAAGGGGAGGAGGGGAGGGGGAGTCACCTTTGACAGACCAGCACCATATCCAAGTGAGGTGGTACAATTCCCAGTCGCTTTGCAGAATGGAAACTTGGATAAGCTAGATGCAATGACATAAGTCATGTGCTCAGTTTAAACTCACTGGTTGACCACAAGTATCTCAAATTTCACTCTGTACTTTTTTTTTTCCTTTTTTTTGTGAGAGACCTGGAAATTATGTCAAAATGGATTAAATTATGCATTTAAAGGTCTCTTAAAGTATTGAAGTCTGCTCTTTACCCACCTTATTTATATGCATCTTCTCAGTTTCACTAAGTAAAGCTATAGCTGATACCAAATGTTCTAAGCACACTTCAGGAGTTGCTTCTGGTATTATCCACCTGGATAGTTTTAAAAATATTATATAATTCACAAACTAACCATCATTTTTAATTTGGCTCTGGCCAAAAAGTTTTCAGGTTATTATCTGATGTGATAAGCACATCACCCTAAGAACATTCTCCAATCATGACCTGTAATCAGCAACCCTCTTACCCCTTCAACCCCAAGATCTGACTGCGAATTCTCTGAATTATCTGACACAAGGGTCATCTAGGGTGATACAGTAGAGACTAAATAATAATAATAATAATATAATAATAATATAATAATAATAATATAATTTTTTTGTGCAAAATATTCCCCAAGGTCTCCTAGTGATGTCCATAAATACTTTATGCTGAAGTTCAAAAAATTGAAAGTGGGCTCTTAGAGATAATTGAAAACCTTTAAAACTTTAGTTCAGTCTATGTCAATTAGATTATATATACCTGTGTTTCCAAACATGCATATTACATTTTTCACTGAATTGAGCCAACAACTCTGCCCTCTGAAAATTAATCAATGCTATCATGCATTTCTTACCACCTTTAAATAATTCAATGTTTCATAATTTTACAATCTTAATTTCACCTGTCATTCAAGTCAGAGCAGGAACCCAAAGAGACTAAATTATTAAGAGAGCATCATGTTAAAAAGAAAGATAGAAAAAGAAAAAGCTATTAAACTTCTTGAAAGTACATTTAGACATTTTACTTATGCATATAAAATCTACCATTGTTAATGGGCAAATTCTGATAACTATCTTCTGGATTTGTATGAGAATTCGCGGGGCTCTTTAGATTACCATGATAAGAAAAATATCAATATTAGCAATACATCAAACGTGAAGTGCGAAATACTGATAAATCATTCACTTTCTTGTACGTTTAAGGGTTGCACCACCTAATCACATCATGCTGATTTTAATGAAAATATGTCATTTCTTGGTTATTCAAAATCCAAACAGCTGGGTGTATTGAATAGGACTCAACGTAAACAGTTTCAAGACAACGCCAACGCGGTTAGTGCAAAATATATCATTTCTAAAATCAGTAGATAAGAATGGACTGATCCTGTCTGCATTAAGTTTTTGGGGAAAATTTAAAGTATACAGAAAGGATTCGCTGGTAATGGCATTTAAAATAAAAATATCATTGGAGGTAACAAGCTAGGAAAACGATTAAAAAAAAACTTACGTCTCTTTACAACTGTGGAGATTTCTAACACCAGGCAGCCATACAGCGGGTCTCAGTACTCCCTGAATTGGCGACTGCCACATGGCACAACAACAATCGGCTGAAGACATTTGATTGCAGCGCCAGTGCTTCTTTCACCTTCTGATTCGATTCTCGGATGGCAACAGTTCGCCTAGAAGTGAGGAGTTGACAAACTACGGGACGGTTGACTAAAAAAATCGACCAAATATTATCCGAAAATTAAACGATCTTCCGTGAACCAAGTGGTATGTCAAGACAAAATATGATATTTAAGGCCGAACCGGATAAAAAACTCCCAGTAGGGATAAACGAAGTGCGATTAATCAACAGTACCTGCTAATGCAAATTTTCGTGACTTTGTGCAAGTATATTCCAGGCGTTCGAAACAGTCTGCTTAGCGGGTGGCTTGGTAATTAGTCATTTTCGTTGTCATAGATACAGTCAACTGTCCTTTTTCCGCCATGTTGGAAGTCATAACATTCGCGAACAAATCAGAGAAACTCTACGTTGATATCACCGCGATAAATTAGAATCTGACTTAGTATCCAATTAGAATCCACTTAACGCGATCGAAGAAAATGGCTGCAGAAGTAGCGCTGTCAAAAGATCCTTTTAACGCTACAGATATCGAATTTGAAGTGGACGATTTTGGAAAGGATGACCTCGAAGAAAAAGACACTCAAGGATCAGAGAGCATTTCCCTTGAAAGACCGAGAGCGTTGTCTGTTTCTGATGTTTTGAGTCAGCATATTTTGGAGAGGGATAGCATGGCCTCTCCGATTGTCAGGGCTTTTACACGTAGTGCAATTAACCGGTGGAGAGGTAACGTGGAAACGAAGATAACACGAAGACTGATCGAGGTGAAAGCTGAGCGTAAGAAACGAGATGCAGAAACTAAAGAGCTTACCCGGCTTGTTACTAGAACAGTTCCTTTGGATGTTTTGGCCAGAGACTGGCTTAACGACAACGAAATTAGTTCGGATGTGAGAGTGTATTTGGTGGAAAACCTCATGCCAACGTTAATTCTAGGGGTGGAAAAACTGCTGAACGAGGTTGAAAAGAGAGATTTGGCAGATTCTGAGGGGTTCTGTCCAGACTTTAATCCCATAGATTATTTGGCTCAGTTTCTTTTGAGAAATAATCCCAGATATAGTAACTTTGCTGAAGCCTCACCATATGCAAAGGGTCTGCGTAAAGTAGTGGAAGACCTCAAAAAGGAGGTTTTTTCTATGGAAAATAACAAACTTGCTAAGCTCAAAGCTGATGCCAAGAAGAGGCGTGAAGCAAGAGAAAAAGAGGAGAATGAAAAGAACAGGGAAAACCGGCGGCGCTCCATAGCATTAGAGGAGCAATTTCCAGAGTGGACGGCTGACTGGAATGGGGTTCTTCCACTGTCAGTTGTAAGTGTCTTCATTAACAATATTGAGTCTTATTTAACCCTTTAACACCCAGTAACAGTGGTGGATCCATGGGGAGGGTCTGACACCCACCCCCTCAGTCAGACCTGTTGGTATTTTTTTGAGACGGAAATTCTTCCAACAGCAAATTCTTCCCTATTATTTCTTATTACATTTTGACTTCTACTCCTTTGAAACCAAAGTTCTTCCAGTGACAACATTCTCCCTTATCTTGAATTATTTCTTACTGTATTTTCATGACTTGCTCAAACCAAATTCTTCAAATGACAAAGTTCTCCCTAACAATTGAGCTAAATGCCTCCCGGTTAGCTCAATTGGTTAAGCACCGGACTGTTGTGCGGGAGGTCGAGGGTTCAAGTCCCAGCCGGACCAACACTCAGGGTCTTAAAATAACTGAGGAGAATGTGGTATCTTTCTATAACATCAAGAAATGGATAGACATTCTAGTCTTCTTGGATAAGGATGAGTAAACCCTAGGTGCCGTCTCCTGCATCTAGTAGTTAGATAATTTGGTTAGGCAGGGGACATTAAAGAACCCACTCACAAGATTACAGTGATGTGGTCTGGCCTGTTTACTGGGAACCGGGGGGAGGTGGCATCTGTTAGATTCGCCTTTATTTGATTGTAACCTGCTTAGCAGTCTAATAAAAGTCTCCCGCACAGTGTTGTCAAGCGCCATGAGCTCAGGATATGAGCGCTATATAAATGAAAGTTATTATTATCTTGAATCATTTCTTATTTTATTTACTTAAGGCATTATTGTAGAAAGAAAATGCCTTATTTTCACAGTGAAAGTTTAGACTCCTCAAGTTAAAGCTCTCAACAGGGGGCTAATCCTAGAGTTGTATAAGCTCATTGGAGTGTGCAGGATCCACTGTTACTTTAATACTGCTGTAGTGCTTATCTGGATAAAATACTTTGAGCTGAAGAACTTCTTTGAAATTTAAATCAATCAATTTATATTCTTTCTTAAATTTTAGGTTCAAAATGTGCTGAAATCTTTTGAAGAAGTCGCCGCAAATCTTCCGGAAGAAATCAGAAAAGGTAATATTCAGCAACATCTTCCCTGTGATGATTTGAAAGTCATTTCAATTCCCTTTTTATTCCAAAACTCATGGAACTCAGTGTGGTTGTTTATTTACACTGGCAGGTGCAGCCTTTCTTATTCCTCTTGAAACAACAGACTCCACTGACAAATTGGTGGATCTTAAACAATTTAAAGAAGTAAGTTTTCTTTTATTTACATTTTGCGCTTTCATGATATGACCAAGATCTTAGGATTTGCATTTTTACTATGTGGTTTTCACATTCAGTTATGTTTAAGAGGCTATTTTTTTTTCTTATCACTTTTGACCATTGCTCCGAAATTCTTATGAATGAAATAAAGAAGCATATGCTTCCCATGTATTTTTCCTTAAGTTGTTTTTTTTCTTTTCATTTTTTTAACTGTTGCTCCAACTATGTGTATTTTTGTTATAAGTTGTTAAATTTCATGTCGGTTTTTTCACCTCAGTATATTCGTCCATATGCTGGAAATTTGTCCAAGGAAGGTTTCAATGCATTTATTGAACACTCAACTCGCTGTGCAGCACACTACAGAATAGCAACTGTGAAAGAAGCCATGAGGTACATGTGTTATTAACCCTTAAACCCCTAAGGGTGACTAACATTTAATTTCTCCTCACAACCTCACCCCTGAATCACACATTGAGGTCATGAGAATAAAGGAAATGATCACCAACTAAAGAAACTCTTGATTGTTAAACAAATTCTCTTTGTCAGCACCTTAGAAAATGTATAGAGAACAGTAAAGGAGAATATGCATACTGATGTCAGGGGGTATATATGGTTAAATTGTAGTTATTCAACAACTAGAATATTTTGTAAATTTCCTTTCCCTTGGGATGGTAGACATTGTAGTTTTTTTATGTTGTCCAAACCTGAAACAAAATAGCCTATTTTTTCAATTTTCATTTTTTACTATACAGACTTACATTGAGGAACCTTTTCTTGAGCTGTGACATGAAGAATGTAAGTTACTCTGAAATACATCCTCCTTTTAAGTTACTGTTACCTAAAGTTTGTATTTGTTGTTTAAAATACCTGACGTAAAGGTCTGTTGTCAAGATTGTGAAATTTTGGATCATTGTTTCATGATCAGTTCAGTGTAACTTTTTATAGGTGTCATTACAACACTGACAGCGACTTAAAGCTGGAAAAACACTTAAAAGATAGACAACATACTGCTAATAATCCAAAATCAGCTACATGTACATAATGTATGTTATGATTTTGACAAATTTTCTTCTTTTTCTCAAGGCTGGTCACGTGGACAGAAAGCGTATTTTGGATATAATGTGCTCATTCTATGATAATGCATTAGAAGCTGTAAGGTCTTCTCTACAAAATCCAAGGAAGTGTAAGTTTTTCAAGTATTAAAATTTCTGTTCTCCCTTGTTTTCAATACAACACAGGCAAGTGGGATTTGATGAGTCTTATGGAAATTGGTTGCCTCTGACTGTTGTTATTTCTGAAACAGAGGTTTCGGGTAATGCTTAAGCCTTCATCAGTGATATGAAAAACAAAGATTGTTATCATATGCTATTTAAAGTTACAAAAACGTGACGCAAAGCTTGCGCAGGTAACTGTGTATTTGATGCTCGTGCGAGATCTTTATAGGCTTCTGGAAGTACCATGTGATCGTTCCCAACATTCGGATCAAAAGTAGAGTGCCAGGCTTCAAGGAAAAGTATCTTGTGGTAATTAGATTCGAAACCAACGACCCTGATGTCTGTAAAGTCCCTTGCGATTTTGGAGTTAAAGTCAAAACTTGCAACTGCCTTTATGTGTTCTGCAATTCTGGTCTTTAATGGCCTTGCTGTTTGGCCATAGCACTTAAAATTACACTGTGTGCAATTGATTTTGTACACCATGCCTGACTTCTGGTGGTCAGGTTCGTCTCGCTCCTTGGGGCATGGAAAAAGGCTGTTGATTGTTTGTTGTGGTTTGTAGGCTACTTTGACCTTTTGTTGTTTCAATATGTGACTTTAATTTTCTCGGAAACACCCTGTACATACGGCAGTATCACAAAGCCATTGAAGTTGGTCTGGGCAGGTTGTTTAAATAACACTCTCTCACAGTTCTGTATAAAAGTCATTGGATAATTGTTATCTCGCAGAACAGCCTTTACTCGTTGTATATTTTCCCATCTACCTTTATTGGTAGATGGAATGTTGTTTGCTCTTTTCAGTAAGGTGTTAACAACAAAGTTTTATGGCACGTAGGATGACAGGAAAGGAAATCGAGATAACAGTCGGTATGTGTCAGTTTTCTGTAAGCATCCACATGAATTTTTGTGCCATGTCTACTTGTTACAGTGTCTAAAAAAGGCAAGTCTTGTCCGTTGGTGTTTTCTAATTCTAAAGTAAACTGTATGTGCGGGGTAATTGAGTTAAAATGTTTGTGGAATTTGTCAACTTGATCCTTTTTTATACAAGAGTGACTATTGTCAACATACCTAAACCACCATTTTGGAGGGTACGGGAACATGGTGATCGCTGTTTCCTCAATTTCTTCCATAACAAGGTTGGCTAAAACAGGACTAATGGGAGAACCCATGGTGCATCCAAAAATCTGTTTGTTGTGGTCGCCATCATATTTAAAATAATTGTGGTTGAGGACAAATTCTGAAAGTCTCAAAATGTTGTCAATGGAAAGATTGGTACGTTCTTGCTAGATTCTGGTCTTGTTGTAGTTTCTCTTTGGTTATTGTGAGGGCTAAGTCCACAGGTATGGAGGTGAACAGGGACTTCACATCGAAGGAGACCATGACTTCATCGCTGGAGATGGAATGCTGTTTTATTTGTTGCGTGAAAACGGAACTGTTTTGGACTGTGAAGGTATTCTTTCTCAGAGGTGACAGGACTGAAACTAGATATTTGGATACTGCATATAAAGTTGGGCTACCGATGCTGCTAGTGATGGGTCACAATGGCCTTCCAGGCTTGTGAATTTTCGGAAGACCATAAAAAGATGCTGGCGTTGAATTACCGCAGTGTAGTTTTCTGTATAAATGGGATTTTCTATATAAGTGGGATTTGATATTCAATTGAATAATCATGAATTCCAGGCAGTTACAGGAGATGATTTGTGACTCTGCTTTAATGAAGAACCACCAAAAAGCAATTTCTTCCTACAGTAAAATATATTGAATGAATGAATTTTCAAAGAGATTGGCAAGAAAGGTAAAATCAGTATCAACCAAGAGATTGTTTGATTTAACCCCAAATTCTCAGAGTAAAAATAGCAAAAAATGTAGGAGTGAAAGTTTGGAGATTTTACTTTTCCATCTTAGAAGTTCATAACAACCTCTTTCAGCCAGTCATGCACTTACTAATTTGCTTAATGAGCAGCGACTGGATAGAAGATAAGAGGCTTGGAATTCATTTTCACTGGTTTACATGCAGTATGTGTAGAGATGTTATCTGAGGACTTTTGATCTTGATTTAACCATTGCCTGTTTTTAATCAGGGCCAGTTTTAGAAATAGAAGAAACCACAGATGAAGATGAAGATGAAAAGGCAAAGGGCAAAAAAGGTACTGGGACAGGTATAGATGAGGAAGCCAAAATACAAGAAGAACAAGCAGAAACTGAAAAAAATGGGCAGAACGAGAATGCCAGTGAACCAGAACAATCATTAGGAGATGCAAAAGAGGAGGGGACTCCTGCAGAAGAAGATGCTGCCCAGAAACCAACAGAAGAGGACGAGAAAGCGCAAGAAGCTGAGGAAGGAGAAGAGCAAAATATTGATAAAGCAAAAGAAAAAGCTGGTGATGGAAATGATTATGAACAGATAGAAGGTTTGTACAATCACAATTCTTTTGTAGATTTTATTGTTTCTTCACCATCCCAAATTTGCAGACGTATGAAAATTCAAAGTTGGCATCTTCTATTATATCCAGAAGAAGGGAATTCTGTTTTCATGATGTATTTTAAAATAGTGGATAAAAAAGTAGGTAAAACAGTTGATCACCCTGTTGGATTTTTCATGTTCTGTTTAAAGGTGAGAAAGATGATAATCAAGACAAATTGCAAGACAGTGAGGTTGAAAAAGAGAACATAAAGCAAAAATTGTTAGACAATGAAGAAGAAGACAGAAAGCTGCTGGAATCAATCCCTGATGAAAGTATGTCTCATTATTTTTAATATTCTTTCTTATTGCTTGATACTGTAGAGGAGAATGATATTTTAATGGAAAAATGCTGTAAAACATAAGTATTGGTTGATGATGTAATTTTAATTTGGTTGTATGCTTGTGGCACCACTGAATTTTTTGTTTGCTTTTAATCCAATGTATCCCCCGGAGCTTTTTGTTGCTTTGACCTACTACCAGGACTTTTGATCATGCCATTTATTATGCAGCCTGTAAGACCACTTATTAAAATATATGTATTATGCAAAGTTCAGCTCTCACTGTGTTGTTTTGATCATTAGTTGATGATCAGATGTCAGATCAGGAAGACACAGAAACATCAGCCAGCACACTGCCGAGACCCAGGTCAGCAACTGAAGGATCAGCATTTGATGAAAATTCACTTAACCAGCCACAGTTTATACATCTGCTGGAAAAGTTTCTTGGAAATACACCTATCAAGTAAGAATAATTTGCAAATAGTTTATATTACATAGGGTAACATTTCAATATTTCAACTTTCTTTTTGGGCCATGCAAAACAATCATCGACTTTCAAGAGACTATAAATTATTGGCCAATGACGATTTAAAAAAAAAATGACAAACAAGCCAATGATTGAACAGGAAAGTACAGAGATGGCCCAGGATGGAATACGAACTTGAAAATGAAGCCGTAATGCTTAAAGATGCACAAACAACTACGTGCATCGAGCAAAAGTGTCCAAAGTAACTCGGTATTACTCTGGCTCAACATGCACTTTGCTCTACCATTGGTCTAGAAAACCCTCGCCACTCTTGCAACCAATCAGAAGGAAAACTAAACCAATCCACCCCTAATTTGGTATCTCGCTTTTTCCCGCCATTCGTGCAGTCGACATGTTTTCACATTGGGTTGTCATTGGCTCCTCGTGACCTTTTCATTCGATCTTGTTGGTTGTTGTGATTACTAGATAGATTTCGTCCTACTTCACTCAATCGAACAGTGCATTCATCAAATGATGGCTAACAACAGCACGTTTGTCCTTTTCTCCTTATGGAATAAAAAATGATCTGCCTTTCCAATTCATTCTGTTAGCTTAGAAAATCTTCAGTACCTCGCTCCCACAACTTTAATAAAACTCTGATTCACCAAGCAAACAAGTTTACCTTGTGCGTGAATCCATACAAGATAGTTATTAACTATACATGTTTCTTTATTTAACAGGCAAGTGTTTGATGACCTGGTCCGTTTCGTAAGAGCCAGTTATGTAGAAACAGATGACGAACGAATGGCAAGAATAAACAAGGTGTGTATTGGGCTTGATTCAGTTCCGTGCGGTGATTAGGGACCTTAAGCAAACCACGACGGCGACGGCAACGAGAACGTGGAAAAACAAAAGATCTGATTAGCAGAACAATTGCTCAGGACGTGCATTTTAAAACTTAGTACGTTTCTCAGCCGTCCTTTGCAAAACGATAACGTGAAATCAGCAAAATTTGCGTCGTCTGCTAACCGAAACCGCAACGGCAAATTATTTCAATTTCCATTTGTAACTCAACGCTACTTTTTAACAAATGGTAAACACCACTGCGTACACTATTGAGTTATGGATGCACGCGGGAGGTTGCTAAGCACGAAAGAAGCGTAAGAGTCGCTCGAGGCGATAGCCTAGAGCGACTCTAGCTTCTTGAGTGCTTAGCAAACCTCCCAAGTGCATCCATAACTCAATAGTGTACGCTGTGGTGTTTACCATTTGTTTTATAACATAACATTAACACACTGTAGCTAGAGTTCCCTTTTATTTAACAAATCTTACGTGACCAGAAAAAACAAGCGCGCGCGGAAAAATAGTCTTTGCATTTGCTCACGTCAGCAGCGTACACCCATGGGCAAATGGGGGACGCTAAATTGACCAATCAGAGCGCGCGCTTTACTTTGGTTATGTTATAATAGACGTTATGTTGAGGTTGAGTTGTGGCGCCGTATGAAATGGTAAACACATGCAGCCAGTTTCGAAATTCTAATCAAAAGTAGAAATTAACTTTTTAATCGACGTCTTCCTTGGCGTTGCCGCCCTGACTGCTTAAGGTCCCTATTGTCTGTTGTGACGAAGTTTCGCGAATATCACGGAATGAACTACGATAGAACATGGTCTATAGAAAAGAATTTTAAATTTATAGTGAGTTGAAAACGTACTGCATGCTATTTTGTGCGGGATTTTAAGAGCTCTTCGGCGACGTATAATATTTGACATCAAATCTCTTGATGTCGATTTAATTGAAACTGACGTCAGTTTGCTAGCTGTCGTTGTTTTGCTTTGTTTTGTTTTTTTGTTTCTTTTTATGTTTTGTTTTGTTTCGTTTGATTATTATTTTTTTAACGGAGATGGCTATGAGGAGCTCGAATGCAACTGCGAAGTGAAATAGAGGACGTTAAACAATGCAGTGTATGAGATAATTAAAGCAGAGTGGAGCCTCTATTTTGTGACATTGTTTGAGGGGGGGGGGGGAATGCCGTGCCGTACTTCCTCAAATAAGTACCCAGGCGCTTTTTTCAAATTTCAACTAAAAGAGGGAGGGCGCATAATCGCACGGGGTGCTCATGAATAACTTTAGTGAAGACTATTAACCTGTACTGATCTCGCTATAATTGAAGCTGAAAAAGTTATTGATAAAGTGGCAATAGAAACAGGTTTTCTTTGTATTCCTACAATTCAAGAGCGAGGGGGGGGTCTTATTTGAAGGGGGCACTTGTTTGATATAAAGGCCAGTGGTGTGCGCGCAAGGGTGGCATTGATTGATAGGGGTTGATATCGTTAGGATAAATTAGATGCTAGTCTTTCTTAGGAGTCAAAAGGTTAAATATTGTGGTTAATATTCTCCCCATTAGGCTCGTTTAGAGGCTCGTTCAGCCAAGAGGCGTCGGCAGGTGGATCAGCTCTATGAATTGTGGGATGTGAACGCCTCTGGGTATCTGGAACTAGATGAGATTCAAGTTGTGTTGAACAAATGGCGCTCGGATGGAATTGACAACTTCAAGGAAGGTTTGTGCGGATATTTCTCACTTGTGGGTCTGTGTGGTAGAGCATCGGTGCACCAAATGCGGAGGTCTGACGTTTGAAATCTTGGGGGGGAACTCAGATTTTATGTCCCACGCTCAAGACTCAAGAAAAACATCTCTCTGCTCCTTTGCTTCGTATTTTCAAACAACTTGATAGGAAAGATAGCAATGAAGAGTAGAAATAATGGCGCTCAGCAGAAATTTGTTATAGGAGCTCTTTAGAATTTACATTATAAATGTTTGACAGGAGTGTACATAAGGAGATACATGTATGCCTTCCTTCTCTTTTTTCGTGTCTTTACACTGAACTCTAATATTTTCATTGGTTTGTTACTATTTCAGCCCTGAAGGTATTTGGTGAAGTGGACAATACCCTAAACAAACGCACCTTCCGTGAGTGCATTGATGCTATAGTAAAGTCTTTTCCAGAAGAGGACGTGTTTGACTCATTGATCCACTTCCTTACCACAAGCGTGGAGGTGAGCTTCTAAAATATTATTTAGTTTCATTAAGTTGCTTCTCTTGACTCGTAATCCCTATCATTTACAGCGGTCTTTCGAGGAGCGCAGGCGCGGTGATGCACGAAAACGATGGATGACGATGATTGATGCCGCTGCTCAGACTGGCGGCGCGCAACTCGATCCAGTCTACCGTGCGGTGTATCATGTACTTTTTAAAGACGCGGATGAGTATGGAAAAGGGAAAATATTGAGTTCTTCAGTGAGCATGCTTGAAAACAACGATGACCCGAGCCAAATGCACCGCGGTGAGACAGTACTAAGATACGTATCCAGCACAGTGGATGATATTCCATACGTAGTGGGCAAAGTTTTGTATAGAGATAGAGATATGAAGACAGTGAGTTGGACTGCAGTGGACTCCGGGAAGCCAATCCATGTGCCTAAGGTGTCTACTCACTCTGGAGTAACGCTATGGAATCCTGCTCGGAGAGAAGAGGTAAGAGTTATGGCAGTGACATCACAGCAAAGAATTAGCTAAGGATATCATTAGATTTGCCGTGGTTTTCTTTGTTTTGACTGTCTTTGAAAAGATTCCAAAGCTGAAAAAATTACCGGAAGACATTTTTTCTTGCAACAGAAGTTGTCATACGGTTATGAAGTATGTAAAGCGGCCACAATTTCTTATACAAGCATAGCTTGCGAGAAGGCCTTCATTATCAGCGCTTCGACACGAGATTTCATCTCGCGGGCAAAGAGACACGCGTCCTGCAGCGCAAGTAATGAGTACCTGCTCGTAGGCTAATACCAGCATTTTCCTGCGGCAAGGGCGGGCAATCCCAAGCCCGACCCGCCCGCACGGGTAGCTAATCAGAATTGTGCCGATGAAAGTGTAGCCGGCCTTTGCGGAACTTGGTACCGAATCTGTTGCAGTTGTGAAGAGATTGGAACAGATATGCCTTTGGTCGACGAGGAATTGGATAGGTGAGCTATTGTCTGTGGTTGGTGTTGGTGCTCTTGTGGCCGAGGTGGGGAAGGATATTGGTATGCCTTAGTAGAGGTGAAAAAGTAGCATTGAGCATCGTGATTTCTTGCACACATGCGCAACTAGCCATAAGTTAATCAATGTTAACTAGTGATACATATTTTTTTTTTGTTACAGGGAGGAGACGGTTCATTTATTGCACTACCACTAAAGGATCATGAGCGGCGAGTGATCGGTATCCTGGGTATCGACACGTTAGCGGACCCTCATAAACCAGTGTTTATCACACATGAGATCAGCTTTTTCCAGGGTGTGGCCAAAGCCTTGAGTCAGGCCATACAGTTTGTAGATATTCGTCGGAAAACCCTCCGAGTTGCTGAGTCAGCAGTGTCTTGGATCTTACGACGGAGTCCTAACGTGCAGAATGTTAATGTTTACTTAGTGGAACCTGGATTTAAGGTATACATTTCCTTAACAGCGTTCTTGTCGGCCTTTAGTCAGCGGGGAAGAAAACTTTTCTTCTGTTTTTGTTTCCTCCTCTTTGTTGGTCTCATGATGGATAAGGGCAGGAAAAAATGATTCTTTAGGCCTTCCCCGTATTTAAATTGTTGTTTTATTTTTATTTTCTTCACTGTTTATCATCAGCCATCTGACGGTTTAGTCCTGCGCCGAATGATGACCCTGGCTCATAACGGGGTTAGTCAGCACTACACAAGTCCGCCAAGGCTGGACAGAAGAGACAACCTATTCAGGTGAGAAGCAGAATTTCTCATTAGGTACGATTTTAAGGCTGGGTTTTAGATACGCAACCATATCTATTTCTGGCTTTATAACTTCGCACACAAACTGCGCGTTACTGTTAGTGACAGAGGGTTTTTTTCGCTGGGTGAATGAAATAAAAGTAATGGAAACAGCCAGTTAGAACTAAGGAAAACATCACTAGGAGCCAATTAGAAGTCAGCGCGGGAAAATGAGTGCGCCCAGTGGCAATGTGGTATTAATTTTGTTTTAGTTTTGGAGGCTGCCGGGAGTTTTCTGGACCAATTACCCGGCACCGTAAGGTAGAACCAATGTAGTCTTAAATCACTTTCGACACGCGAATGAAAATTGCTTTCAACCATGCCTGGAACGAGGGCCTCATTGGGGTGATGGCTTTTGCGATTATCGGGTAAAATTTGTCAATTTTTAACGCCCAACGGCTATTGGTTAACCACACTGAGACTCTGGAAATTGTAGTTCAATCTGACGTAGAGACAATCTTGCTCGAAAAACGCGGTCTCTATGTCTCATAGATGATTCCTTCTTAGAGAGCACTTGTCGCTCTGGATATAGACATCATTTGCCAACCTGTGATGCAAATTTCGTGTCATATATCAGGGACTATTTGTTTAAATGCGTGGAGAGCTCAGAGACTATAACAGCAGACGCGTATGGGGAACGTCACATGGCTTTTCCCCTCAGGGACGGAGAAGGGAGAGCTGTAGCCGTTGTCGACATAAGTATCGGTGAACTAAGGGCACTTCCACCGCACGAGAACAAGGAAATACAGCGCATGCTCAAACTGCTAGCGAAGGCGCACAGAGAGGTGGCTCGAGAGATAACCAGTGGAGCGGCAGAGAAAAACATTGTGTTGGGTAAGCTGGGTAGCTTTGACATGGCTATGCATTGAAAACGCTTGACAAATGGGGTTTATGGGAATTTTCTCTAGACAGGGAAGTGGAAGAGGTCAGTAGTGTTTGAAATGAAACATATCTGTAAATAATAAACCTCCACTATGCGGTAGCAGTTGGGCAGAAATCTGCTTTTCAACCCTTTACACCCTAATATTAAAATTCATATTCTCCACACTGTTCTCTTTACATTTCCTGTGGTAATGACAAGGAGAATTTGTTTGACAATCAGGAGCTTCTTGAATTGGTGATCATTTCCATTTTTCTCATGATTTTTACTCTTGATTTAAGGGTGATACTGTAAGGAGAAATTATAGGCCGGTCATACTTTGGGTTTAAAGGGTTAAGACAGAGGTGGTGTCGTATATCTGTCTCTTTCCATATTTTGCATAATGATGACGTGGAAACCTCGACTTCTCTTGCTATTTTAGTCCGTACTTTTACGGGGATTTGGCGTAAATGAAGCTACTGTTTTGAACAAGTACATTTTCCACGTAGAAAAGGTATTAACAATTAGTTCTTTCATTCTGCAGAGGTGGAAAAAGAGTATGAAGACGCTCGTATTGATGTTTTGTTTGACCGACTAATGCTGCTGGACCTGAGAGAGAACGTGGGGAGACTGGACGCCAGGTACATTTAACTGATGGAGATCTTAATAGAGATACTGTTGTCAGAGTTGTAGAGACTCAGACACCTCCCAAAGGATTCCCAGTGATTGCTAGTTGATTTGTAGACTTCTGATTCCCTACAACAGCCTAGTGAGAAGTGAAAATGTACTACTATAACTTTATCTAGCTTGCTTGTAAGCGCACAGAAGAGACACAGATACTTAGCGATCTCTATTTCTCAAGAAACACCGACCGACTTTCAAAGGAAGAGTTTTTATTTATTTTTTTTTGACTCGAATGCCCCCATCCCCTTCCCTCCTTCCCTACGCGAAGTTAGCGCAGTCAGGTATCAACTCCTTAATAAACCAACATGTGAATTGAATCCAGGGAACTAAAAAGATATATAAAACTGTCTTTCAAATCAGATTGAAACCAAGCACAAATGCGTCAGGTCTTCTGCGATCGCCCTGACCGTGTTATGACTAGTTTCAAGCTTGGATTCTTTCTGTATAATGATTCTTTTTTGTCAGCTATGTGATGGTCGATGTGTTGGTTTTTCAATTTGTTGCGTTCTTTCAATCCTCAGAGCTTTCGCCGAGATCAAGAGCTACAAGGATCCGCCCAAAGTGATTCACGATATTCTTAAAGCAGTTTTAGGAATCTTCCATACAGATATGGAGAAGCAGGACAAATTCAACGAGTGGAGCATGTGCAAACAGATGGTCAACCCTGATCTGGTTCGTCTGATTACATCGTACGATCCCACAGCCAGGGCTAACACTGTTAATGTGGATGCTAAATCCTTAGCTGGAAAGCTACAGGGTGAGTGTCTGAATCTGCCGGAGCAAATGAAACAACTACAAGGGGCTGACGAGGGCTCAAAGTAAACAAAGCCAACTGCGAGCGACCAAATCGTGATTTTGATGCGCGTCTGATTGGTGTCGCCAGCTACTAAGGTCTAACTGTTATTCTCTCCTCTAGCTGTTACACATTTCCTTGTAAATTTGTTATGAGAATTTGGTGGTAGATCAAGAAAACAACTTCTACTTGATAAGTTTGAGTTTTCTCATTACCTATTTACTCGATAATGTACGGATATTATACAGAGAAGTTACAAAGGAATCATTTCTGGGAGCTAAAGGGTTTAAACCAACCACAGATCGACGTACAGCAAAACCAGTGCACTCCCGAATTCCTTTCGAGAGCCAAATGGAGATTGCCATTGATACTCTATTCCTTTGGTGTTACTCTTCCCTAAAAATATTATTATTTAAGGTTACCTTCGAATCAACGACATTTTTATGGACCAAACTAATAAAATGATGGAGCTTCCTTCCTATTCTTACGCGCCCCTGTGGTAAATGCTGTAAATTTCTATGGGAAAGCAGCCCTCTATTTCAAATGCAGGGACTGTGAACTAATTCATTTCTGTATTTTTTTTTTTTTCGATTTCCAGGTGTGCCCCAAGGTGCAGTGGCGAAGCACGGTTCATTACCGGCTCAGTATCTCTTCAATTGGGCTTTCGTTTGCTTGTCTCTGATTGAACACACAGAGAAGATGTGTGAAACACGCCCGGGAAAAGTAGTGAGCCCGCAGGCTAAGAGCGAAGTGGTCACCGATGTTGGAAAGGGAAGGCCCTCGCCTCAGGATACATGGACGCGGTTGGAAACGACCGCGTGATTCACTCTTATTAATCTAGACATCAATTTTTTGAATCAAAGATCCATCATAAAGCAACCACGCAAAGGTATTCTGACGAAATACGGTTGAGAAGGGGGAAGATCAGCAAGGATTACGAGTATAGGACTTAAAAATTAGGCTAAATCGTTTTAAGTTGCACATACGGTTGCATGGTCTCAGAACCGGACCTCTCATTTTGAGTCAGCTGCCTCAGAGCAGAGAGCAGGAGAGTGTAGATAGGTTTGACTTAGAGTTCCTATAAGGAAGTTTACTTAATTTAACAGCGTTTATTCTCATCTACGGCAAGTGATGAGCTTTTAATGGGCTAAAGGTGGATCACAGCAACAGCAACAACAATGAGATCGACGACAACAACAGCAGCAAAAACAACAACTACTAAAACAAAAAGAAATGGTAAATAACACGATTGAGCTTTTTTGCGCACGGAAAAAGTATACTTGGTCTTGTTGACATAGAAAAAAATTCTTCCGCAGCAGATGTGTAAGCTTGTGGTTGATACTCAAATAGCTTTTGCTCGTACGTCGTTTACTCAATTCCCTTCTGCCATTTCTCTATAACTATCTATTGTAAAGAGGAGGACATTTATCACGTTTTATACATACCATATATATATATATATATATATATATCTACATTTTTTACTAATCACAGACAGTTTCTATTTATGTCTATTTTTGTATCAAGAGTTTGTCAAGTGTGGAACGAGCAACTATTTTGTTTAGAGATTACAACGTGTAATTCAGTTATAAGATTGTTTCACGTGTGTTAATGCATGGTATGACCAAGGAGCGAGTTTCCAATAAAAATGACTTAGAGTAACTAATTTTTCGTGTTATGCATTTCTGTGTACCCCTAATGAATTAAGGGGGTGAGTTACTGATGAAACCGTGGTTCATCGGTGCTGACAAAGGGCTGACGCTCAAAACGTCAGCTTTCGCAACTCTTTACGGAGCCAATTTACATTATCAACTCAGTGGATAAGACCAAAATATCTATGTGTACCCTTATTCATACATACCCTTAGTTACATATGAATACCAAATATATGATGTTATTTTTTTAGATGGGTTTTAGGTCTTGAAAGGTCCAGCCCTGTTTCCATATGGGGACATAAGCTGATCGTAGCGGCCAGCAGTATAAGTTACAAAATTGCCGGCAACTTATTTCAAATTCTTCAGGGTCCCGTTAACGAAAGGCGACTTGTTATTTTTTTCCAAGTTCTCCACGCCACGCTGTGAGCGATAAAAACCGTGCTGGTTAGAAATTTCCCGAGAAAGGGAGGCGAACTGTAACACCATAGCTAAGTCAGAGTACGCATCCGAATTAGTTTTTTTTTTATCGCAGTTGTATCCAAAGATACATGTACAGTCCATGTGGCTCTCAGCAAAATATGTCCATTTTGATACCGACCGCTGGAGCCCTTAATTGAAAAAGGTTTTCAATAATGAGTTGCAGTCAAACGAGGCCAAGGCCACTATTGCAAGTATTTTAATGTTAAGTAGTTTGTAAGACAAATGAACTCTTATTATTCGTAGTTGTAGTGCGCGGCTCCTCATTGGAAGAGCACTTCTTAGTGATGATGGATACCCTGAATAAATTAAGTCTTTATTCATTGATTCATTCACTTTCACATCCTCAGCTCAGCACCCCATGCATACGGTCTTTCAGTGAGTTGACGGTTAGGTAGTCAGCGGTTGTTCCGGTCATTAGACACGTACCTCATATACAAAGAACAGTTCACTTGTGGGTTAGAAAGGTATCGACTAGAGACATTTTGGAAGCGTGTATTCTCTTAATTTTCGCCATGGGTATCCTCGAAAAAATCGCCGAAATAGAAAATGAGGTATGTTTATGTTGTATTTTCCCCCCAAGTTTTCATAATTGTGTTATTTCATAGAATATTTTGGCCAATTTACAGATGGCGCGAACCCAGAAGAACAAGGCAACAGCCCACCATCTTGGATTGTTGAAAGCTCGTTTAGCCAAATTACGGAGGGAACTGATCACACCAAAGGGCGGAGGGGGAGCAACAGGAGAGGGTTAGTGTTAGGCTTCAGTATTCAAACAGCCGTCAAAGTGTTTGTACTTGAGTTGTATTGAACAAATTTCCAAGCTTGATCCTAACGTGTCTTAAGAACACCGGTACCCTTAATTTGATGTTGCAAGAGTATTACTTGTAGTGACAATGTTTCAAGAGCGATAGAATGTTTCTCTCTGAGGAGTTTTCAGATTGTTGTTTTGGTCTAAAAGTGACGATTTTGTCACCTACCACTCTGCCCTTGACATCTGTGGCAAGATCTTCATGTGACCCAATACTTTATTGTGTACACAACTATTCAATGGGAGAAAACAATAGCAAATACAGTAAAAACCCGCATGTAAGAACCTAAAAATTAAGAACCTAAAATTTGCCATTTATACCCCCTATAAAAAAGAACCTATTCAGCCTAAGAAAATTATAATAGGTTCTTATTTTCTAAAATCATATAGTACATTAGAGGTACACTGAAATTATTTACTGTAATCATAATCGAAGAAAAACCAAATACAAACTTATCTTATTTCCCTTTTTGTGGGGTGGGGTGGGGTAGGGGTGGTGTGGTGAATAAAATTAAAATATAGGACAATTACCAACTTGTTATGCAGGTGTGTTTTTCTCTAAGAATAAGAACCTGTTTTAAGAAGCTAAATAGCCTAAAATTTTGTTAAGTACCATTTATATAAGAACCTGTTTAGGCTAACTCCTAAAAATGTAGGTTCTTACTTGCGGATTTTTACTGTACAATAGTTTGCCGCTGAGAGTAAATTTTTTTTCTTAACTGTTAACTACTCGGTTCCGTAAAAAGAAAGTTCTTTATCTGCGCACACACTAATCCAAGTAATAAACTGTAGAGCCAAAATTCACGAGTTTTATACCTGCTAGCATTTTGCATATAATTACGGTCACACTACAATGTACACTAATTAGCAATGATTCTATTTTGATAAAACGTAAATGGCGGTGTGAATTGCTGATTATGCAACATTAACAATAGTATTGGATTATATGAAAATCTTTTAATACAATTATCTGTTATCACTGATTTATGAACATCAAGAAAAGAGGAACATTCAAGAAATGAAAATGAAGTAACCCATAAATGACCTGCATAGTTGTAGTTACTATTTGGAGTGTATTTTATTTAAAAGTAAAAAATAATTACATCTCTGAATATATATTGATTGGGAACTCCTTTTGTTTAATTTTTTGTGAATTTTTCACTATTTTGAGCACAGTAGTGGGTGAAAAAGTTGTACATCTGATTTTGTAGGTTTTGATGTGGCAAAGACTGGTGATGCTAGAATTGGCTTTGTTGGTAAGTTACATTAAATATTTGGGTTACCTTAGTACAAAACATCTTTGATCATTCTGTGAAGGGCTGATTACACAGAAACAGAGCATTGTAAGTAAACAGTAATTCCCCTTCTGAACTTAGTAAAAATAGCCTCATTTTCAAATACAAAAAACACAACTGTTACAGTAGAAAAGGTACTCTTTTCTCTGTTGCATTTTGATGGACTTTTTTATTTCTGTAGAATTTGTAAAGGAGAATTGTACTCCAAAATCATATATTGATTTATTTTAACTCCATCTTTTAATTTTCCAAAGATGAGTTCTGTAACATCCTGAAAATTTCAAGGATACTTTTTGATGATAGTAGAGTTGAAAATCATGTATGGTTTTTTTAGCATACTTCTTCTCCAAAAATGCCAGCAACCTTATTGTGGAAAAAGTTTGAAATTTTGGATTTGTTTCAGCTGTTTGACAAACCTTACCTGAGACCTTGTTTTTCTGGACTTTCATGCAAATTGCCCAAAAGAGAGTGAGAATCAGTTAATACTTTGTTGATAATCAGATGGATTATTTCTCTGTAGGATTTCCATCTGTTGGGAAGTCAACTCTTTTAACCACTCTAGCTGGCGTGTACTCCGAAGTGGCTGCTTATGAATTCACCACCCTTACCACTGTTCCTGGTGTGATTCGGTATAAAGGAGCTAAAATTCAACTCCTCGATTTGCCAGGGATTATTGAGGGAGCTAAAGATGGCAAAGGAAGGGGTCGTCAAGTTATTGCAGGTGTGGTGATATATGTATAGTGAAAGTGAAAGTGAAAGTGAAAGTGAATGATTCGATACCTTACTAGCAGCATCTATAGGCTGAATTGCTAAGGTCTACAGTGCCACCAAGGTTGAGATTGGACGCCAGCATTATCAGGGGCCTCTTGCAGCCGCTTTAGTCCATGTAACGACCTCACCTTTTCCCCCCACACATTCCACCCCAGGGGAGGACATCCATCGCACAGTAATCTCCTGTGTGAGAAATTAACGTCTCCTACCCCTAACCCTGCAGGAGATGGGACCTCCATTTATTCATCCTTATCCGAGAAGACTAGAATATCTATTCATTTCATTGATGTTATAGAAAGGTAGCAAATTCTCCTCAGTTATTTTAAGACCATGTGTATTGGTCTGGCCGGGGCTTGAACCCTCAACCTCCTGAAGAACACAATCCGGCACTCTAACCAATTGAGCTAACCAGGAGGCGGTTATATTCTGCTTTGCTCAACTTTATTTCAATTGATATGAGGGCTCTGGATAGAATTTGAAGTAGGTTTGTGTCCAACCTGAATTAGGGGACTCAGATAAATGACAAGAAGACAGCAAATTATTAGTTGGAGTCACCTTCTGTTGAGAAACCTGTAATGCAGGCTATTGTTTGCTACTGTTTGCTGTTTTTAGCTTTAAAAAAAAGTGATGTAATAATGCCAGTTTTCTGTTGGTTGATTTCCTACAGTTGCCAGGACATGCAGCCTAATTTTTATTGTACTAGATGTGCTAAAGCCTTTAGGACACAAGCGACTCATTGAGCATGAATTGGAAGGATTTGGTATAAGGTAAAGGTTGTAATTAAACTTCCCACCCTTGTGGCTGCAGATCAAAAAACCACTCTGGGGGTTTCCTAAGCTTATTCAAAATGCTCACACATGCCATGTTATATTAATTTGAACCATGAAAACAAAAGAAAGGTCCTTGAAAGTGAAAAACTGTACTTTCCCTGAGGGCTGTGGAGTCACATTTCTGTGAAGTATACAGAATTCAGATTGTAATCTGATGTCATGGGATCAGATTCCTTATGAGAAATCCTGACTTTCTTGCAATGAAAAGCTGGTCCCCTACTTTATTGCTTAGCCCTTTACAAGCTAACTTTAGTATGCATATTCTCTATACTGTTCTCTATACATTTCATAAGGTGTTCACCGCGAGAATTTGTTGAACAATCAAGAACTTCTTTAGTTGGTGATAATTTGCTTTATTCTCATGATTTTAATGGTTGATTCAGAGATGATATTGTAAGGAGAAATTAAAAGTAAGTAAGTAAGTAATTTTCTTTTTTTTTTTCCTTTTTTTTCTTTTTCTAACCATTTTCACTGCATTACCGCAGTAGAGTAGGACTAGAACGGAACATATGTAAACCATGTGAGTAGTCCACCAAATAAAACCCACCCATCCCACCCCAGGGGAGGACATCTATCACACAGTAATCTTGTGCAGGGGAAATTAACGTCTGCTACACCTAACCCTGTACTAGACGGGACCTCCATTTGTTCATCCCTATCCGAGAAGACTAGAATATCTAACCATTTCTTGATGTTATAAAAAGGTAGCATATTCTCAATTATTTCAAGACCTTGAGTGTTGGCCCAGCTGGGGCTTGAACCCTCAACCTCCTGCACAACAGTCCAGTGCTCTATCCATTGAGCTAACTGGGAGGCTTGTCAAAGGGTTAAAATAAAATACATGGAGTTGTATTATTAATTTTTATGTTCCTAGTCGAACAATTGTTATTTTATCACCAACTAACACAGGTGGTGTTATTTTTTTTTGGTCAGGCTTAATAAGGAACCACCAAACATAACATTCAGAAAGAAAGAAAAGGGTGGAATCAACCTCCAAACCACAGTATGTATTAAGACACAGAACTTATTATCACACAGGAGAAATATAGCCAAAAGGAAGGCTTACTTCTTAATCACTCTTGGAAATGGTGTAATTGTAATAAGGTCCTGATTTATTTTTGAAATAGCAAATTCATTGGTGGTCAGAGAATGGAAAAATCTCTTTAATGAAGATTTAAAACATAGACATTTGCCAAGATATGCCTTGTTCATTTTGTGTTTTATTCTCTCATTTAATCAAAAAAGGTTTGAAGTGGTTGTTTAAACTCTGTTACAGTGCACTCAGTCTGAGCTGGACATTGATTCTGTGAGATCCATCTTGAGTGAATACCGCATTGCTAATGCTGACATAACCCTAAGATATGATGCCAATGCAGATGATCTCATTGATGTAATAGAAGGAAACAGGTACAGAAATACAGAACCTAAAAATCTTGATATCTCTATACAAGGCTGTTATTCTGTACCATAAAACAGAGATTAAGTTATGCAAGGAATGCACTGGTAACATTTCTCAAGGGTTACCCAGACCATACATTTTATTCTTAACCAGGGGTTTCTGTAACAATTAAATTATACTAAATCTAACTACTGTACCAACAGTAAATGGCAACAAACGAAATAAACCCAGCGAAATGAAAGATTAAAACATACCTGAGAGTTTATACCCCTAAAGGGACACGAGACGCAGCATTATAAACATACAATGACAAAATACATAACATTGATGAATCTCTTGGCACAAAACTAAAATATATACTGAAACAATGGGGACTGAACCCTATTATGTTGCTGGACTGTGGGCCCTTAAAATTTGTTGTAACAAGTTCTTTTCTGGACTTTGACCAGTTGTTAAAAGAGGCATTTGTTAACATGGTTTGATATAATTTACTGATTCCTCTTTTTTCAATTTCAGGGTTTACATTCCTTGCATCTATATTCTGAACAAAATTGATCAAATTTCAATAGAGGAATTAGATTTGATATACCGCATTCCACATGCAGTTCCATTATCAGCTCACCATAAGTGGAACTTTGATGATTTGCTAGAAAAAACTTGGGAATACCTCAGTCTTATAAGGATGTGAGTGGCCCTTGATTTAGTTTTTGAAGCAGTGTTTTGATGTATTTCTTGACAGATTGCTGGGACAGCTACTTTTAATTATTAAACTGGATATCGATTACTCAAACAAGTCTTATAAACCAGTGGTGTTAACCAATGCTAATATCAACAGAGTCATGGCCAGAGTCAAAAGCCATTATATCTTGACGTACAGAAGAAAAAAAGAAGCACTCCTTTCTTTTCTCTATGCTCTTGGGTGGCAGTATATGTATAAACAATGGGAAGAAACAGATTATGAATTCTAACAAATTCAACTCTGAACTGATGGGTGACCAACTGTGAAGGAGTTGGCCTTTTGTCAATTGCATGGTAGTAAGTGAACTTGATACTTTTGAAACACAAATCAAATAAGTGGTGGAGTGGAGGAATTGAACTCTGGTCCTACCAATTCCAAATATAACACCCAGTGAGTACAGTGAAAGAGGGGTGGGGGCAAAAGTAGCCCCAGTACTTAACTTGAAACCATGTTTTATTTCTTATGCTTGGTAGATACACAAAGCCCAAAGGTCAGCTACCAGATTATGAAAGCCCAGTGGTGCTGAAAAATGGACAGTCATCTATTGAAGACTTCTGTAACAATTTACACAAGAGTATCATGAAAGAATTCAAACAGTAAGGCTTATTCTTCTTAATAATCTATAAGCATACAGTTTAAAGTTATTATCCAAATCCAGAGCCTGTTATTACATATACTAGTATTTATCATTTCAGTTAAATTTATATCGTGCAGTAGAATGGCTGATTGTTTACTTTTTCATTCTTTGCAGTGCATTAGTTTGGGGCTCCTCTGTGAAATTTAGCCCACAGAAAGTTGGTAAAGAGCATATATTGCATGATGAAGATGTTGTCCAAATAGTAAAAAAGTAAGCACCTGGAGTAAACTGATATTCATTCTTGGTCAGTTTATTTGTCCTGATTTCTGTTTCAGTTACTTTTGACATTATGGTTAGAATGCTGCATAGATTTTTGAATTGACCAGGATATAACTAACAATTATTCACCAATGAAAGTGGAGGTGAATAATTGTTTTAGTACATACGGTACAGACATTGAAAGCTTAGTTTATATCTTTCAAATATATGGAAAACTGGTCAGAAATTAAACTTGTGATGCACAATTTTGTCTCATTGGCTCTGAACTACATGTAGCCAATCAGCATGTACTAAAAGCACTATTCACCTGTGATATATGATAATTACTGATGGTCATTTGTTTCTAATTTTACCTTTTTTTCCCTGCAGAGTGTAGTTTATGGCATACAAATCCTAAGAGGGACTATTTGACTTTTCGTGAACTGACCTGACATGAGGAAAGAACTTCCTGATACCATCACTTTAGACAGATATAATTATTTTAGACAGAGTTGAAATATTTGTCTCTAGTGACAGAATAAATAAACCAACAGAAGTTTAACTGGTGATATTGATATTAAATGAAACTTACTGGTAACTTTCCATTTGTTTCTGTTCACTATAATCAGTCTTCCCTTACAGACACTGCTCCAAGCTGCAACTGTTTTGGGTTGCATGGGGAGAAAAAAAAATTTGGTCACCAGTGTTAAGTGGAGCAAAGAAAAATGAGATGAACATCTTTATTAAATGTAGCTGAAGATCTGATGTTGTCTTTAATAAATTAATGTTCATGGTTGACCTTGAGATGTTGCATGAATTTCTGTTAATAATTACTGTCACTATGGGCCATCCTACTATTTTTTTTTCCACAAACTAACTTTCAAACTGCAGTGTAGTACACAATGAATTACAACCCACCCAGTAATTTTGCATTATTTTATTGGCCACTTTGCTGCACATGTTGCAAAATCACATGACAATTACCACCCATAACCCCTGCCTGTGTCAATAGTGGTCCTCCTATTATTTCCATCAAAGCAAAGCCAGGGGAAAAAAGCTAGTTCAAGAGTTTCACCTTTTCTTCTTTGTTATTTTACATGGAAGGACAACAAACTTGTTTGATAGAGTCCAGAATAATTACAGTAAAAAAGCTGGTCACAAAAGCTGTTCCAGAAAGTAAAAAAAAAAAAAATCAAACTATACCATCACCATCTCTGAAGGTGTAGAAAGTTATGAGTAACCTTTAGGTTTAGTCCTAAGCAATTTTCTTCAGTCATTAATTTTTTGTAAAATAGGGAATTAAGACAACCGTGTTATTATCATAAAAGAAACCAACAGTTTTTCATCCAACTTTAGCATGGAGGAAAGAGAGAAAGTCCCAACCCCACTTGAAAACTGGCATGACCATACAATTCCTTTATTTCTTAAAGCAGAACTTTTCCTTTTTATGAGTCTGTATCAACCCTAATGCACAATATTGATAATGATAAAGCTCCAGCAAACATACTTAATCTATTTCAGAAAACATCTAATATTCATTCATACAATACACAATCATTTATGTCTAGAAAGTTTATGTTAAAAATTTGAGACTAGAAATACAAAATAATTCCTTCTCTCGGATCGGAGTAAAGCTGTGGAATAAGATACCAAGCTGTGTAAGGGATCTTACAAGAAGGCTTTCTAAAAAGTCCTTTGCAAACTGCTATTTGATATCTTAGAAAAAGAAGATAACTATATTCAAACCCCCATGATCATTAAAAAAGTAGGTACATAGATACACCTAAGTTTGAATGTCTTCTCTTTTCTGTGTGACTCTGTGACTGTGTAAATAACAACTCCTTGTGCTTAGATACTAGATGATTTATGTTGTTCAGGTACTTGTCTTGCCCTGACAGGATTAGCTTTCTAGATATTTGCGGGGCAAACTATCCTACTTTTATTTTATTTAAAAAGATCAAAGAATAACATTGTCATTGTTGTTGTTGTTAAATCAAAGGCTTTTCTATACGTGGGTTTTGCATGATGTGGACATTTATGGGAGGGTCACAAACTAACCCCATCTTTTATTGCTGCTACAGTTACTGTATGTAACTTTATATTAATAGAGAGTAGAGTGGTATCAGTTGTCTGGCAGCAATTTCACTGCTATCTAGCAACCAAACCAGAAGCGATCAAGGGTCCTTGTATCCTTTTCTTTGCTTAAGCTCAATAGAAAGAACTTGATGCATGTTAGTTGATTTGTTCTTTTAAATACCTATTATTTCCATGCATGATTTGGAAAGATCAGGATTCAAATGGACCAAGCATGGACACATATCCCATCCTTACATTTAATACCAGAAACATTTCCAGAATGTAATGCCATTGAGAGAAAGAAGCCACTAACATGTAGGGTACCCTTACAGTATGCGATGTCCATAATAGTTCATGGTTTTGTAGTTTGCTTGGATGTTCTTGTAGTGGTAGTTATGATGACCTAATAACTCAAAAAGACACAGTCTACATTCAAGATCTGGTAAAGTTAATGAATCAGTGTTAATAATTAGGCAAGACACTCTTCTCCTACAGTGCTTCTCTCCACCAAGGTTGTAAATAGATACCGAGGAACTGTCAGGGAAGCTTAACACTTAAACTCCCTTGAGCAACCAAGGTAGAGATTCTCCTTACAAATCATCATAATCAATACAACTTTCAACAAGACAAGTGATGGGGAAAAATTTAATTAGGGGATTATTAGTTGACCCATTATCAATTTCTCCAAACTTGCATCACAAGAATTGTGTTAGACAATAAAGAGAATTACAAGTAAGATCTTGGGAGTGGAAGGGTTAATGAAATACATTGATAAAACAATGATGAACTAGCATCATTTTTAGAGGGCATTATAATACTTCTGCTTTGTTTATATTATCGAAAGCAAGATAAACTCTAGAAGTGTAAGCCACTTGGGTAAGGTCCTGACGTAACCTTTTCCTGAGCATGTTTTGATTTTCATTTGTGAAAGTTTAAAGGCAAGTTTAAGTACCACTTTTTATTTCTTAAATTACATAAATATCACTATACAGCATTCATAATTATTGCTTTAAAAGTACATAATGTAAAGCAAAAGCTAAAATCTAAGTAATGCACCTATATTGAAAATTAGCTAGAACTTGTACAAAACAAAAATGTGTTCAACATGTTGACAAAGAATGAGGCTATTAATTTTTGCCAGCAACCTAACAGTGAATAGAAATTAAGGAAATCAAGTCTTATCTCTTTACAAGAAAAAATGAAGCCTTGAAGACTTACAAAAGCATAGAAACACAGAATGAGATCCTGTGGCATGTGGAAAAGACATTCCTTGATAATCTGAAGAGCTGAAGAAAAACTTATTGGTTTCACCTTAGCCAATTCTATTGAGTAACTAGTTGTTATTTGTGTTTGTTCATGACCTGTGATGTCATCAAATGTAAAAATCCATTTACAGTGGCAACTTTTGAAGCTTTTATAAACTTGAATGTAATTATAAAAAATTCTATGCTATTGCAGAAGCCATTTGATTTTAAAATTTGACAACACCACACTGATGTTTTGTAACTGTATATTTCCCGAGGAAATATTTCATATGTCAGCAGTTAGATTTATTTACAGTTAGTATTGCTGTTACCTGAGTCACAAAACAATAAGACTAATCATATAATAGGAAACAATTCAGGAAACCTTAACTGTGCCAATCAGCCCTGAGGGAGAAAAGCAAGCAATAATAATGAAGAATTTAGATGTAAGTTGTAGCTCAATTCCCGTGATTGGATTGATCAGTATTGTGTAAATGAGCCAAGTGACAAGAATTTCACTGTAATTGTAAACAACAGAAAAAGGGACAGGGCTTTAATACAGGGAAAATTTCAATTCTGTTCATGAAGACAACAAAGATACTCTTAAATAGTATGCCTGTTGGGTCTCTAAGTGCACCAGTACAGGTTAATTTTGCCTCAAGGCTTGTTTCCAAAAAGGAAGAGATTATGTCTGATTTGAGATTTCGGAGATAATCAAATCAGCAGAGTTGCTGAAAGAGTTAGCTAAGTCAAGAATGAAGCAATCTGGAATCTTGAGTTTACGTTATCTTGTTCACAGAGTTGCATGGATTGCATGATGGATAATCAAAGTATTAATGCATTAAGTACGTCAACTAGCTCTAAGTGTGCTGCATCCTTGAATGTACCCTCAAAGTTTTCAGCAGCATAGGAAAAGTTACAAGTTGCAAAGTAACATTATGTGCTACATTATCTAATCTTGAACAGTTCTGAGCTTTACTTTTCTGGTGTATCTTCTGTGGTTTCTGGCTCTTTGACTTTATCATCATCCGTAGCTGTACTTGTTGATTCTTTAGCTTCTTTAGTTTCACTAGTCTTACTGTCAGTTTCATTGTCTGTATTTTCTGATTTATTTTCTTTGTCTTCATCATCATTATTTTCCTTAACATTAAGGCCTTCCAGTTCTTGGGCTAACTTGTCACTTTCCTGTTGATTAGTCTTTTTGCTTGCTGTGACCTCATCCCTGGCCTTGACAAACTCTTCTTTGAACTTCTTTGCATCTGTGTGATAAAAATAGTAACCCATGATAAACTTAGAAATGAGCAATGACAACTTTGACTTTACTCAAAAATGTACAACAGCCTTAATCACTTTGACTATGCAGGAGTGTTGCTAGGGACTGGCTGATGGACAAGCGGCAAACACCAGCTGGACTTCTAGCCAGCTTTTGCTCAGTAGAGCGCTATCTTTGCACCACCTGGCTTGAAATTTCAGCAGGCAGTCTAATTTCTTAGCTACTCCCTACTATGGAAGAGCTGAGAATCTGTTCCTTCTTTTTTTTATGAACCAAACAGGAATGGGATGTCCAAACCAAAGCAGAAACCCTTACATAGGAATACGAATGTTTCTGGAACATCACAATTAAACAGTCAACTGTAATTTAAAACAGGCACATGTAATTGATGTAAATACTCACTTTCTGCATTAGCAAATCTTATAGCCAGTGTTTCTGTTTTTATTTCTTCGTCAGCAAAGTCTGGTGCAGTCCACACCCAAGCTCTGTCACTTCCACAATTTGGCCTCAATTCCATATCTTTAGAAACTACAACAGAAAAAAATAAGCACTGTAACTTAAAAGTTCATTTGGAAAACATTAATTATGCATTCCATTTCAAAGGTTTCTTTGCAACAGTCTATGCATAATTAATCTATGGGGTTATATGGAAATCTTGCCGTTCATTTGCCACACATTATTTCATGTCTCAGAAACTTGAAAATATTTATTAAAGACCTTGGAAATACACTTTTATCTGATAATCATTTGACTTGTTACACTAAAACCTATAAATTTGACTATAGTGATTGTTCATTAATACAAAACTAGTTATTCACTTTCCAAAGCTTAATTGTTAAAATAACACCTATGCAAGAGGCAGCCCACTCATTGGCCAAGAGCCCCTCAATTAGTCACAAACAGTACAGAAAGTTGAACTGACTGCTGATTTAGTTGACTACATCAATCCATTACAAGTAATTAATTCCTTTCATTTATCAGAAAACAAAATGCACTCTCCCTTCGAAATTTTTCCAATTTGAGTATTGGAAAAATTTAGACTGGATTGAACGTTCCAAATTGGATTTGGACTCCTCTGATTAACCATGACGACCGTTTTAAGATGTGTAACTGTACAATGTAATTTTAACCGTTAATGGCGTCGAAATTATACTTACTGTAATGATTTGCACATATTTTAAACGTCTTGTCTCTTCTCATGAGAACTCTGTATGTTCCCTTATCACTATTTTTCAAAATCTTTATTTCACCGACTCCTCTTTCTTTCCATTCGTTCTCCTCGCCGCTGGTTTCGAATCGGTACAGTTTTGCTCGTCTGTATAAAGGGTAAAGGAGAGCATAATTACAGGAGAATTAGCAAGCAAAATATCGCGACCGACCCTTTATGAACCTAGCCGACAATCTGATATGAAATTTTGCGATATGCAGAGACTTACAGTTTCAAGAGCAATTCTTCGTTTTCCTCAAGTGCTTTGAAATTGACATCTATCTTAGGAAGGTTGACAATCGGTTCAAAATGAACGTCAGGACTTGCGGGAGCTTCGTCAGATGTCTGTCGTGCAAATTACATCAGAAGATTATTAACGCTTTTAAAAATTATACTAGACAAGCAAAAATATGGGAAAAGAAATAAGCTACCTTTTCATTGCTCATTGTGTACTTTCGACGATAAGATGAACGAGATAAAACAAGATTTCCAAGGCCGGTTTTCAAACGTAGCAAGAAGAAAAAATTATTTCGCGCTTCAAATCTTGCGCAATGACGTACGACGCATAGCTCAGTCAGTGGAGTCTCATCGTGGGCTCAGATTATCAAATTGGCGGGAAATTTATTCACGTCGATCCGTCGATCCACGTCGGCGCAGGTTTCCACTTCTCCTTCCGCCATATTTAAATGCACCAAGCAATTTCGCTTCGCTGGGTTCTGATGGCTTTCTTTTGTCTTTTTGCCGAAGGGCAAATTATGTTGACATTGTTCTTCGGAAAGAGGTAAGCGACAAACAGAAACACTTTACCGTTCCAAGGCTGTGGACAATCTCAAACCCAAGTCACCTCAATGAACTTCTATTTTTCAGGATTTCATTAATGTTTTGGCCAAACTAGGCCTACTCTGGGACCTTAAGTTGCCTTAAGCCGCCTAAAGTCACCTTAAATCGCCTAAAGCCGCAATATTTTTTCTATCAGTTTTGTTTAAGTCACCTTTTATCACTTCAGTCAAGTAAAATCGCTTTAAGGCGCCTTAAATCGCCTTAAGTCACCATAAATTGCCTTAAATCGCTTAAAGTGGCAATGTTTTTTCCGCCAATTTTGCTTAAGTCGCCTCAAGTCGCCTTAAATCGCCCAAAGTCGCCCAAAGTTACGGCGACTATAGGCTCCATAGTAGGCTTCAAACTGTTTACCACTAGTTGGTAAGCAGAAGTAGTAGTATTTGGTCTTTTAATCTTTAAAGACCATGCCTCCCGTAATTATCTTCATTCCGCATATAGTTCGATTCATACATGTTGTTCCCGGATTAACAAAAGTGTTGTTGTTCCAAAAACAAGATGGCGTCCACATTATCCCGCAGTCTGGTAAAATCATACACACACACGTAGTTTTACCAGTCACTGTGTTGCGTTCATAAGTGATTTATTTACAAAAATTTTACGCACCTGATAAGAATCGAAACAGAAGGAATCTTATCTCAAGCCAGTAAACATTATCAGTGTTTACAACCAATGTTGACCACGTTTTTTTGCCGACCATGATTTTAGAATGAAACTTGGCATTTATGCGTCGTTTGATACGCTTGGGAGCCTAACTTAAATTTTCCAAACGCATAAAAAACAACCCTTCCATGTACCTCGGCTACGAACCCATCGGTTGGAGAAGAAATTCGAGTTTAATATTTTAACCTCTTCTTCGACCAGGACCCTTGCCCATCAAGACTGCCCTGTCCCCAAAAAATTGTATTAATTATGCGTGAGTTGGCCAATGAAAAATTTTATTATTTATCATCGATCCTGTAAATGCACTGTTATAAGACAGGCAAGGAAAAAATAAGACTTTTATTTACTGGCGAAGGGTTGATATTGCCTTTATCAGATTTATGACCCTTGATCAATCGGCTCACAGGTAGAACCACAGCACTGAAACTGCACTCCTGGAAGTCAGGAACGACATCCTGCTTGACATGAACAAACAACATGTAACTCTTCTAGTGCTACTCAATCTTAGTGCTGCTTCGGTACAGTCGAGCACAATATGTTGTTGAAGGCACTCAATAAGCCGGGACTTGGGGGCAGGGTGTCTGTCTGAGAAGTTTGATTTGAACTGCGGAGTTCCTCAAGGCTCCTGTTTAGGGCTGCTCTTGTTTACCATCTATACGAGCTTCTTACTAGATGTCGTCCAAAATTGCCTTGTATGCGTCCATTGTGTTGTGAGGTGAAATTGGAAGTTGTTGTTTTGAGACTTTTCCAGTTAAGCCTTTTGTTTTGTTAAGCTTTGCCTTTTGCGCCTACGTGTTGTTTTGGTAGATTTATATATTTTTTTGGCTCAGCTCGCGGATTTCCTTGTTACCGTGTTAGACATTTAGACCGTTAGACAGTTTCACAGGTGGTTGTGTTTGCGCTGGTAAAGCTGACCTTGAGTTCTACCCACACTGAAGTTCCTGTTTGCGTGCGCGATTCCTGCGCGCAGCTGTTAGCGTTCAATTGGTTCCTTGGCGCTCGACGAGTACTTCGGTGAGGGCCAACCAGTTTCCCCCTTTTTTGCAAAATAAACGGATACATTAAGGAAGCTCTCACGGTCAGGTAACCCAAACATGTCTACGGTTTTCCTACTTAAAACTTTGATACTCCTCGCTAGAGTAGAAGGAAAAAGAGAGAGAAGAAAAGATCTGAAGCAGGGTGGTCGAAGCTGAAGTAGCTCTCGAGGAAAGAATAAAAAGAGAAGAGTCCAGAGTCTTGGTGCCTCTCGTTAAACGATCAAGCGATTTGCTAACCTCACTATAATTGCTACGCAGATGATACCCAGCTTTACGTCTCTTTTAGCTCTGCAGATGAGACGGGTCACTTGGGATGCCATTACTGCTATTGAGTGTTGTATCAAGGCGATAAGGTGTTGGATGAATGAGAATAACTATTGTTGAACTAGGAAAAAAACTGACTTTCTTCTGATTGGCACAAAGCAGCGGCTCATCAAAGTATATATTGGACACATTAAAGTTGGCAAAGTAAATAAAGCTCCGCACTCTCTTGTTAAAAACCATGGAGTTTAACCATGTTTATTTAAACACTGATCGTCCATAATCGTGTTTAGACCATGTTTAACCACCGCTTTAGGAACAGTAGCGACTTAGAACTGCTCTGAGATAGGTTTAGATACAGTCAGTATGGAGCACTTTCAGTGCCAGCCATCTAAGAGTGTACGGATTACTCTTTTTCAGACAGTTAAGGGAGCACGCCAATTGACGTTACTTGTAATCTACAAAAATTCGTCGGCTTGGAGATAGAATTAACCGTTTATAGGAATTAAGATTTTCAAATTCGATTTCACTTTAGAAAGGACTCAGTTCCAGATCTCATCAAAAGTTTAGAGCAAGATCTCAAACATCAAAAACGGTGATGTCCGCCACTGACATACAGCAAGTCTTAATTTATCAGCGATTTTATGTGACTGGGTCTTTCGAGTTAGTTATTGGCGATTTATTTGGCGTTTCTGTGTTTTGCATGCACCATCATTCACAGGATGTCGAGGGCAGTGTCGAGCCGGAAAGGACAATTCCTATCATTTCCTGATTAGTCGTTTTCAACTCATTTGAGTTTCTTTCATTGTGATGTTTTAAAAATATGGAAAAAGCCATAGTTTATGGAATTATCAACTTATACATGTTGCTCCGTTACTTACCTTCATTGTACACCAATATATCGGTACTTTTGCTGACCATTAGTATTCAAATTGTTGGTAAATATAAGTGTTAATGGTCTTTCTGGCAAATTGGTTCTCATGCTAGTTGACAGCTGACCTTGTGCTCGTAAGTTCCTTCTCACGATCAAGTTTTTGATCGTGTCGCTTTCATTTTGGGACATCTGGCTCGTATCGTACTTTTTCAGTATTCATCCTGGTTACTAGACAGCGCGCGCGAACCCTGGCCGAGGAGACCGTTCGCCAGGAAAATTTAGCGTTGAATTCAGGTTCGAATGAGTGGTCGGCCCCTCCTCCACTCGTTCAGCTAGGGAACCGTTCCTCCGTTCATTTTTAAAAGCAATTAGTAGATCGCCGAAGGCCGACATTAGATCACAGGCGTTAAGTAGGATTCCTACTCCTAGCGAATACTCTCTATTTTCCTCTTGTACTGGTAACCACAGTTCTGACTCTGAGGAGGATCTTATTTATGAAAACGTAAAAAACATTGAAAATCTTTCCGGTCGCGGAAGTGGAAGCGAAGATTCTGTTGAAACTCTTGATAACTCGTTTCTTGATATTCGACGTAACTTTTTAGAGCCAAATCAGTCGTCTCGTGCACCAGCTTGTACGGAAATGGAAGATCAAGTTAATCTGTTACGTCAAGCAGTTGAGAGAATGTAAACTTCCGTTAACTCACGAGGTAGAGGTGTCAGTGTGAAGTCGTCGGTAACGTTTCTAGTTTTTAGCGACGATGAGTCCGAGGATGCCCATGAGTTTATTAGAAACTATAAGAGAGCCGGTAGACTAAATGGTTGGGACGACGATAATCTAGTATTAGGGCTTCCCCTCTATTTGAAGGGTCACGCTAGCGCGTGGTTTAAGACTTTACCTACGGCCGACGAGATGTCTTTTGGAGAGTTATCCGAGCAATTAATTAGGCATTTTGCCTCCGGATCTAGTGAATGGCGTGTGAGACAGGCGCTAGGGCAACGACGGCAATTAGAGAAAGAATCAGTTGCGGATTATTCCTAGAGCCTTCGAACACATTGTGCGAGAATAAATTTGCCTAGATCTGAGTGGACATACTATTTTGTACAAGGTCTCTGTATTGGCAGGGTCAAATAAACGCGCAGATTTTAACCCTAAGGAGGTATCGGCGCAAATTCTAGAAGAGCTCTCAAAGACAATTAATCTTAAGGAGAAGTCAATTAGTGCTGTAGGTCCAGCGCTAATTCAAAACCCTTACGTGAACAAGTCCGAGATGAAGCAAATTATTAGAGAAGAGTTTCGAGAGTTGATGGGAAGCAATATTAATACTAGACCCAATGGTGATAATCAACGTCCTAACCAGACTTTTCAGCCAAGGAGTCCCCGGTCTCGCTTTGGCGATGCCGTTTGCTACAATTGTGGTCGAAAAGGACAAACTTATTATTTTTGTCGCTCAAAACCTGCACCTAGAAATTTTCGTCGAGAAGGTAGTAGGCAAAATTTTTATCAGAATAGAGGTCAAGATGTTTCTAATTAGCAACCTAAGCAGCAGGGAAACTGAGAAGCGCCCCTGTTTTGTTGGAAAATGAACCCGTGATGGGGGCCTCAAAAACTAAACATAAGGCTTCAATAGTTGTAGACCGAAATTTATTGGAAGGATCATGCGATACTGATAAACTTGCTTTCAGTAAAGCCAGGCCTGCCGATATCTCAGTAGACGAGAGAATTGATTGAGCGCAACATGTTATTGTCGAAGGTAGTTATCAAACTTTGCCAAAACATTCATCTAGTCGCCCTCCTCAGAGTGGTAGACTAGGAGAACAAGGTACTTGTTTGGAGAGTAGCATCATCGTTATTTTATCCGTTGTTTTCGCT